CGCCGCGAATCGCCTCTCCGTCGCGGGCATGTCGGGCAGCGGCAAGGGCTGGGCCGCGGCGAAGCTCGGGGTCAGCGAGGGCAGCGTCAAGGCCCAGTTCCAGCGCAAGGGCAAGTCCGCGGGCTGGCGCACGTTCCGCAAGGCCAAGGCCGGCGGCCTCTTCGGGAAAGCGCTGGTCTTCCACGACAACGTGCAGAACTTCCAGAAGGTGCGGGGCGTGTTCCAGGACACGCACGACGAGTGCTTCGAGGCCGGCGGCGTCGTCGAGTGCATCGCCGACGGCTTCGGCGGCTTCGGCGACCGGGACTACGTCAACGTCGGGCCGTCGGGCGCGCCGGCGACGGAGGTCGCGTCGATGTACGACGTCGCGCGGGCCGCCCAACAAACCTTCGACGCGGCGCTGGGCGGTTTGTGCGCGTCCATCGCCGGCGCGACCTTCGAGACGGCGGACCTCAAGGACCAGCTGCGCACGCGGGAGAAGATCAAGGAGCGGCACGAGCGGACGCACAAGACGAGCGACGCCGCGGCGTTCGTCGTGGACGTCGTCCGGGGCCAGGTCGTCTGCGTCGACGAGGCGTGTCATGTACGACGTCTACAAAGCGTTGGTGGAGTCGCCGGCTTTAGCTATCTGCCGCGTCGTGAACCGCGTCAAAAGGCCGACGATCACGGGCTACCGCGACCTCAAGGTCAACGTCAAGGTCACGACGGACCTCGCGGCCGCGGACGGCGCGAAGATCCCCCACACCTGCGAGGTCGTCATCCACCACAAGGTCATGCTGAACTTGTCGGACGAGCACGACGCCTGCAAGGTCTACGACTTCTTCCGGTCGTTCTTATTGGGGGGCGAGGGCGCGGACGACGAGCGGCGGCGCGCGTCCGTGCTCATGCAGATCCCGACGTCGGAGATCTCGACCATGGAGAGCGTGGCCATGAAGTGGCTCGAGGACCACGAGGGCGCCCTCGAGCGGCTGACGACCTTCAACCACCTCATGCGCGCCATCGGCGAGTTCGAGCTCGCGGAGATGGTCCAGGGGAGGATTGTGGATTTGACGATCCAGACCTTCGGCGCCGGGTCCATCGACCACGCGCGGGCCATGGAGGGCCTCGCCATGGTGCTTTATGCTCAAGAAAAGTACAAGGAGGCCGAGCCCATCTTCCGCGACTCCATGCGGCTCAAGGAGGAGCGGCTCTCGCACAACGACCCGGAGCTCGGCCCGCTGTTGTCCTACATGTCCCTGTGCCTCGAGCGCCAGGGCAACTTCGAGGACGCCGTGGGCCCGAGCCGGCGCGCGCTGGAGATCCGCGAGGCCCAGCTCGGGCCCGACCACCCGGACGTGGCCAAGCTCCTCAACACGCAGGCGAACCTGCACTACGCGCAGGGCCGCTACGAGCACGCGGACCCGCTCTACCGCCGGGCGCTCCACATCACGGAGCGGCGCATGGGCGAGAAGCACCCGGACGTGGCGACGGCGCTGAACAACCTCGCGAGCCTCCTCTACCAGACGCGGCAGTACGTGTCCGTGTGGAAACCAACCACTGGTTTGGGTGGTCCTGACCAAACTTGAGAATTCTCTAGCTCGGTCAAATCGAAGTCGATTCGGCTGATTTTTGGACGGATCGATCGCTCTCGTCGAGTTCTCGAAGCCCGGCCGAAGAGCTTGTGTCAAAACATTCGAATACGCGCACATTGAAGTCGGGTTGAAGATTTGATTTGCACACAGGTACGGCGAGGCGATGGCGCAGTACGAGCGCGCGCTCGGCATCCGCGAGCGCCAGCTCGGCCCGGAGCACCCGGACGTGGCGACGCTCGTGAACAACATGGCGGCGCTCCTCGCGGCGCAGAAGAAGTTGGCCGAGGCGAAGCCGTTGTACGAGCGGGCCATGGACATCTACGCGAAGCGGCTCGGGTCCGAGCACCCGCTCTTCGCGACCGCGCTGACAAATTTAGCAACCATGTACCGCCAGATGAACGACTTCCAGGCCGCCGTGCCCCTCTACCGCCTCGCCCTGCGCCTCAGGGCGAAGCACTACGGCGAGGTCCACCTCGAGGTCGCGGCGGCGACGACGGTGCTCGCGGCCGTGCTCCGGAACCTCCACCGCTTCGACGAGGCCAAGGCGCTCTACAAGAAGGCGCTGAAGACGCGCGAGGAGTGCGCGGGCAAGATCTCGCGGCCCGTGGCGACGTCCTTCAACAACCTGGGCCACTGCCACAAGTGCGCGGGCGAGTTCGAGGAGGGCGTCGTCGCGTACAAGCGCGCGCTGCGGATCCGCGAGAAGGTCCAGGGCAACGACAGCGTGCCCTACGCCAAGAGCCTCGTGGGGCTCGGGACCTGCTACATGGAGCTCCAGAAGTGGACCGACGCGGTCGACTCCTACGCGCAGGCCGTCGCGATCATCGAGCGGTCGGACGGCCCGGACTCGACGGACCTCGTGCGGCCGCTCAAGGACCTCGCCATCGCGCTCTCCAAGCTCGGCCGGAACAAGGAGGCGCGCGAGAACCGGCGCAAGTCCGTCGCCGTGCACCGGGCCATCGCGCGCGAGGGCGGCGGCAACTCCATGATGGAGACGTCGCTCCGCGCGACGTCCAAGACCTGCGTCATCTCCTGAGGCGGCGCAGGGCCCCTGTTATAACCACCCCGACGAACTAGCGAGGCGGCGGGTCCGGACGCCGCCGCGCGCGCTTCCACGCCTCGGCCGCGCGCTGGAGGGCGGCGGCGGCGGGGCGCTTCCGCGGCGGCTCGGGGTAGAGGCACGCCGTCATGGACCCGCGCCTCGCGCGGACGGGCCGCTCGCGGACCCACTTGTTCGCGATCCACTTCTCGGTGTCGCCCGCGATGGGCTCGCCCGCGTGGACCGTCCTAGCGTCGACGGTCGTGTCGTCCGCGACGTTGGCGAAGACGAGGAGCCGGCCGCGGCGCGGCGCGACGGACAGGCCGAGCGCGGGGAAGACGGTCGCGCCGCCGGCGCCGACGTCGCTGAGGTAGAGCAGCGCGGTCGTCAGCCGCTGGCCGCCGCGCTCGAGCTCCGCGTTGCCCGCCTCGAAGGCGTCGGCTGCGCCGCGA